AATGAAAACACGCATCCGCACGTTTCAATGTTACATGGATGGATGCTTCTACAACGTGGGCTAAAAAAGAAACACATCACGTTTTCCACACATCTCGCGGCGTCTTTTGATGGAACTGAAATCAAACGTACCGAGATATTTATTTAGGTCAAGGGAGTCATTTATACACATCTAAAGGGCTAATTATCCTGCACCGATAGTTAATTATAGTACTCTTTCCGGACCAATTTGACAAATATCGGGGTTTGAGTGAACCGTAATGTGCATCGTACCTGTAAATGAGAGGCCCCGCTTACATGACTGAGACTTCCGTACGTTTATCCTGCAGGGGGTGAGTGATTATGAGGTACTAATCAGGACGAACTGTCATCTTGTTTACTGACACTATAAACGCTCTCTACTTCCCGTACCAGGAAATGTAAATGACGTCTAGATTTTGATCGTGATCAATACTTGCACACTATGTCGTGATCGGCTTTACTTTGATCACGTTCGAATGAGGCTATAGAGAGTACTAGTATGCGACGCGCGTCTGAGTATACAAGATAATGGGGTTCTGACTAGTATTCTATAGTCTGCTATATGTCTTTCGATCGAGGGAGTGTTGCAAGCTGTCGGGTCCATGTGAAAAACACGCCGATCTAAAAAAAAAACATCACGAAGCACAATAATGCTTGGACTACAGGTGTGGCCTCTTGCGAAGATCAGTGGAACGTCATTCACCGTAATTCAGGCATCCGTGCAGGAATCCAGACGTAGCTTTGAGACCGGCGAAAGACCCGGATTCAAATCGATCGGCTGTTTCATAGTACAACTGCTGAACAAACAAGCCAGAAGTTAAGGTCTAGGCAGCACATGTATTCTTCAGTGTAAAGATGTTTACATTCATAACCATGCGTGTGTGTTTCTCCCATCCATGATCTGCTTGTCAGCATATCATCTATTGATTATGTGCCTCATTTTTCATAACATGTTTTTAAAGTTGGGGACGCTCGTCGCCGATGCACATACTCTTTGCTTATTACTTCTTTATTGGCGAAGTGTAAGCCTGTAACGTTGTGTCAACATAAGCAGTGCTCAGCCAGCACGTTTCAGCTCTCTCAAGGCACAGGTGTCGCAGGGTCTTGGTCAGTAGTGGCAAGATATTGGACCCAGTAGAGCATGGGGCATTTCAAAACCTAACAGAAAATCTAACAGGCTGCAAAAAAGGATTAGGTGGATCAGGGGTGACAACCTACACAGATTGAAGGAGGGTTAACATCCTATAGAAAGACAATTTAGGTGGATCATTAAGAGGAGGTAATCACCTAGGGAATTAATCAAACTGCTGTAGAAGGGTATGCTTTATATCTCCCTTGGGCATAAAATCAATTCAGGTGAATATTGACCTTATCTCAAGTAAAATGCAAAATATCGTAATTGATCATAGCACTAGGCTTTCCCTTGGGAATTGAAAAATGTTAACTACACGAAGGGGTGTGACCATCTCAATCACACTAACATAAGGGGTGAGGCCATGGCATCATGGCCTCGCAACTCCTAC